CAGGCTGCGGGCGGGAGCGCGGCCGGTGGGGAGCCGGGCCTTCCCGGGAAGGCGCTGGGGAGACCCGGCCCGGGGGGCAGCCGGGCCGGGCCGGGCAGGGGGCCGCGGGGGCAGAGGCGGCGCCGCCTCGCTGCGGGCAGCGCGAGGCGGGGCGGGGGGGCGAGTCAGAATGGGAGCTCCTTGGGGCAGCCACTCGCCCCGCCGATCCTACAGTAACGGCATTGTATCAAGACGGCCGCAGCGAGAGCCGCCCGACGCGAAGGTGCTCCGCGCGCTTCCCGCGAGTCCTGGGAAAAGGGGAAGGGGCTGCAGCAGCCCGGCGAGCCTCTGTGCCCCTGTGCGTGTGCCGAGCGGGGCCGCGGGGCCTGGCGTGCTCCTGCCTCCTCGGGCTGGGGCCTGCGCATGCCTTCAGGAGCAGCCACGTGCGCCCTGCGCACCAGTGTCTGCCCGGGGCTGCAGTCCTGCCTGCGGTTTCCCTTTCCTGCCTGCACCGTGGCAGCAGCCGCTCTCCCCCCGGAGGAGCCCAGCCGTGCCAGGCGTCCGCCGCCAACAATCACAGGTTTCTGGCTGTCCTTGGCGCGGGTGGAAGGCCGGGGAAGAGCTACTGCTCGTGACCGGCCGCCGCAGCGTCTTGCTCTCCTCCCGCTCCCGGGGTCATCCCCCGGGCAGCAGGGCCCTCGTGTGGATTTCAGCGTTGGGCTCGGTGCAGGGTTGACGGTCTGGGACGGAGGATGCACTTGCTTGCGCCTTGCTCTCTTCCGTTTTGCCCTGGCCTCAACTGTGGAGATCAGGGTGGGCCCCCAGCCCCCGGGGAGCCCCCTTTCCCTGCTGATGTACGTGGCTCCCCACATGGGTGGAGGGGTCGGTCGATTGCCGTCTGGCTTGCGTGTGGCCACTGGCAAGCCCCTCATGTGCTGCTCCCGAATCGGCCTGCAGCTGAGGCCCACACAGGGTGCACATGTCAATCCATGTCTCTGAACGTGCTCGCACATGCGTGCTTTGATGCGCTTCGCTCAAACCCCATGATTCTAAGCATATTTTATCCCAAATATGCGTGTCTCTCCGCATCATGTTTTTGGGCTGAAATGGCCGCTGCAGGAGGCGCGGAGGCGCCCACGAACGTGCTGGCTTTGGTTTTGTTGGGCTGGAAGCGGCGCTGGGCCTCAGTGCTTGACCGTCCAAGCAGAAGTCACCAGAAATTGGGGCTGCTTAGAACTGGCACCTCCTGTCTGGAGCTCTCTCTTAACTGCAGACACACAAAGGCTCCACAGGGAAGGGAAAGGCCCTCTGCACATGGGCAGAGGCACACTCGGGTTTGTGAGTTGAGCCTACCGTTTAGCAGGGGATGCTATAGATCGAATTAAGCTCTGGTAGGGTTAATCTCCTCCCCTCCCCAGATGATGGGGGAGAGCAGATGACTCATTGGGCCAGCTGGCTCTGGGGCAGGTGTCCTCGGATACAGAAGGGCCGCTCTGGAGTGAGCCCGGGTCACGTGGGCTGGGTCCTTTCAGGCGGCTGCTGTGACTCTCCTGCCTGGCTGCTCAGGCATCTTGCAATTTTGCCCGCGGGCTGTGAAGCGCCCCATGACACGGGTTCGAAAGCGCGGCTCTGGAGGCTCGCGTGCCGGGGAAGCCGCCCAGCCGGGGTCGCCCAAGGGGGCCCGGGGAGTTTCCGCCCCGCCCCACCCGCGGCAGTGGTGTGCGGGGCCCTGCTTGCCAGACCGACCGCGGGGAGCGCGCTGCACGGGCGGCCCCCGGGAGACGGTCCGTTGCTGCACGTCGGTCCCGCCGGTGGGGGAAATACGCACATTGACAGCTGGGAAGGCTGCACTCCTGGAGAGCCAGCTCCATGGCTTTGCTTGCTTTAGTTGGACAGAAGCGGAGCTGGCCGCTCCCGCAGCCCCCCCGCCCGGCCCCCCCCCCCCCCCAAGACCTGCTCGACAGGAGCCGGATGTCAGCACAGGTCGCGCAGAGTGGCTGACCTTTACCTTGGCACGTGCGTCCGGCTGCTGGAGCGGGCAGGCCTCGATCATGGCAAGGTGCACGCAAGTTAATAAAAAGTAAGCAAACAGTCTTTTTCCGCCGCGGCGCTCTGGGAGGCGGGGGAGGCCGTGCGGGGCACAGCGCGAGCACGGCTGGCTGAGCTTGCCGCTTGTGGAGGGGCGGCTGCCGCCCAGAGACGCTGCTGCCTGGACTGTGAGTGCTGTCCCGGGCTGCCAACCCGGCCCCGGGCAGTTTGCGTTGGCTGCGGCTGCTCCAAGACGCTCTGCTGTGCCAGAACGGCGGCTTCTGTGCCACACGGTCCGGGAGCCCAGGCGGGGTCTCCGGGTTGGACAAGGCTTCACCCTGGGTGTGGTGGGCGCCCCTCCTGGAGTGCAGCCCACTTCCCGGTGACGGTCCGGGAGCAGTGGCCTCTTTTGGCCCTTCGTAAGAGAGCAGAGAGTGGGCGCCGCTCAGATGCCGTCACTGAGCAGAGAGTGCCTCCGCTCGGCGGATTTCAGGCAAGTCAACTTCACAGCACCCTGCGAGCGCCTGGTGGCACCGTCTGTCTGCCAAGAGCTGAGCCCGGTGGGCAGGCATGCCGCTTGCGTCTCACAGGCAAAGTGGAAGGCAGCGGGCCGGCTGAAAGTGGCAGATGGGAGGACAGATCCACGTCGCGCAGACGCATTCGTGTAGAGATGCTCGCTCTTTCCTTCACAGCAGTCGTGTGAGCTGGGCCCTTCTCCCAGCCGAGGCCCGTGAGAAACAGGCAGCTGTCCTGCATGGCTCTGTTTTCCTTCTTCCAGGTGTTCTCTAAGATATTCAGCCACGAAGCCCTGGAGAGCTACCTCCCAAAGATCCAGCTGGTGATCCAGGACACGCTGCGCGCTTGGAGCAGCAGCCCGGAGTCCATCAACGTCTACTACGAAGCACAGAAGCTCACCTTCCGCATGGCCATCCGGATCCTGCTTGGGTTCCGCATCCCAGAGGAGGAGCTCAGCCACCTCTTTGAAGTCTACCAGCAGTTTGTGGAGAACGTCTTCTCCTTGCCGATAGACCTGCCTTTTAGCGGCTACCGGAAGGTGAGCGGTGCCTCAGTGCGGGTGCAGCGGGGATGCTTCCCAGCATGGGTTAACTCTGGCCCAATGGCTGGTGGGAAAGGCCCTGCCTCGTCCCAGCTGAGACCCGGGGAACCTTTCCTGGTGCACGTTCGCAGTGCTGGGCTGGAAGCGCCAAGGGCTGACCAGATGAGAGCACCGCCATATTCGCGTCGTTGCCGGTAGCTCTGACTTTCAGGGGCCGGGTGGGTGGCTTTGCTCTTTAGCGGCCCACCTGTGTGGGTTCGCGAAGGCCCTGCAGGAGAAGGATTAGCTGAGGGTGAGCGAGAACCACGCTTGCATTTGGGCTTGGGGGCCCGGCAACTGCTTCAGGGGTTGAACCTTAATTTTTTCTCATGCAGGGAATTCGCGCCCGAGAGGTACTGCAGAAGAGCTTAGAGAAGGCCATTCGGGAAAAGCTGCAGAGCACCCAGGGCAAGGACTACTCCGATGCGCTGGACCTCCTGATAGAGAGCGGCAAGGAGCACGGCAAGGAACTGACCATGCAAGAACTGAAGGTAGGTGTCAGGTCTACTCTGCCGGCCAGCCAGAGCTGGAGTTCGGTCTGCTGCCCCTAGGGGAAGCGTTGCCAAGTCATCCCACCGGAGCTGGACTTGACTGCAGTGCAGGAGAGCACGTAGCTGAGCATGATAAAGGGTTCCTGCCCTGTGAGGAGCAGGTCTTTCCCATTCGGACTTCACCGGTCCATTTCGTTCCTCCCAGTTTGCACTGTTATTAATAATGTAACTCGTTCGTGTTTCTGATTCCACCTATAAAGAAACCCAAAGGGATTTGAAGGTTCCCTGTTCAGATGTGACATTGCCAGAAATTCTGAGGGAAGCTAAAACAGCCCTGGTGCAAGTAGCTGAGGCCCCCGGGCAAGGGGAGTTTGCTGGGACGGCTGGGGCAGTGGGATGGCTCTCGAGGACCCGTGGTGCCCATAAAGCAGCATCCGCAGGAGGAGCAGGGACGTGAGCCCGGGCCTCCGTGGATCTGACAGCAGCAGGCGGCCGGTCTCACGCAGCCCGGGTCTCTCCTGTCCCGCAGGACGGCACGCTGGAGCTGATCTTTGCTGCCTATGCCACCACGGCCAGTGCCAGCACCTCGCTGATTATGCAGCTGCTGCAGCACCCGGGGGTGCTGGAGAAGCTGCGCGAGGAGATGAGGAGCAAAGGAATCCTGCACAACGGCTGCCTCTGCGAGGGCGTCATTCAGCTGGACACCATCAACAGCCTGCAGTACCTGGACTGTGTCATCAAGGAGGTGCTGCGGCTCTTCACCCCCATCTCTGGAGGGTACCGGACGGTGCTGCAGACCTTCGAGCTGGACGTGAGTAGAGTGGCCGCCTGTGGCCCTTGCAGGTGGCGCGAGGCTCCCCTGAGGTGCGTTCAGCAGGAGAGGCCTCTGGCCGGGTGGCCTTGGTGCTGGAGTGCACGCTTTGCGTGGCTGTCGCGCTTCTTCTTTAGGAGAAGAGAGGGACCTGGCGCCCAGTCAGAGCCAGGCTGACCTCCTGCTCACACGGCAGCAAAGCAGCTGCCCTCCTGGGACACCCGCAAGGGCAGTAGCTCTCTCCCAGAGGCCCTCTGTCCCTGAGACCAGACGGAGCTGCTGACACCCCTGGCAGTCACTTTCTGTAAAAACTGTGCAAGATGCATGCACACGAAATGCAAATTTGATAAAATGCCACATAATCGAGTGATTTTTTTTACCTATCCTTTGAAATGATCTAAAAGCCACATGGTGCGTGACCCATGTCAGGCAAGCTGGATGGCCCCCAAAGAGCAGGTCTCTTCGTCACGCAAGACGGTGCCCTGAGAACATGGAAGGAGCCCTGCTGATCCGGCCCGAGGCCTGTCCAGCCCAGCACTCCGCGCACACGGCGGCCGCCCTGCGGCCCACGGCACCCCCGAGGCCAGCGGGGGGGGGGGGGGGCGAGACCTGCCCTGTCCGGCTCCTCAGCCGTGCTGCAGGCAGGTGTGCCGGCTCTGGGGAAGGAGGCAGCTCATAGCCAGCAAGGCCAGTAGCCACCGGTAGGGTCCCCCTCTGTGGATCCGTCCAGTCCCTTTGGAAGCCACCCAGACCGGTGGCCGTCACCACTTCCCGTGGCAGCGAATTCCGTCGTTTAACTGCACATGGTGTGCAGAAGTACCTGCTTGTATCTGTCCTGTCAAAATCGGGGGAGTGCAGGGGAAATAAAGAGCATGGCCAGATGTTGTATCAGGTCCTGGATCGGAGGCAACAGCTGGATTTTTTATTTTCAAAAATGGAAAATCTACAGTTGTTTGAGATGTTGGCTTCCTAGTAGTCCAGGAACTCTGCAGCTGTCAGATTGCCTGCTAAAAGCCCAGCTTGAGCGTCTGCAACCGTCTACCACGTCATCTTAAGTCATGCAGACATCCTGGCTCAAGCATGTTGTGAGCCCATATTTCACCCTCTCCCCACTAACCCACTTGTCTGAGGAGGAGATCTGGAAACCCTGAGAAGCTGCACATGGTTGCGATCCCTGAGCAGGCCTGATCGAGACATTGCTCTGCATGGATTTCGGCGCCTTTCTTAGGGCCGGCGTGGTGGCCTTCATTCCTGACACAGACCTCTGAGTGGCTGTGTGGTGTGTCCCACGGGGGAGCGGCGTGGGGTCCAGGTGGAGAGCAGTGGGAGTGCTGCCCCGGAGCTCAAGGAGATGGAGGCGCTGGCCTTGGGCAGCCCTCTTCCAGAGCTCCCTCGGGACCCATTTGATATCCAGATCTGGGGATGCAGATGCGTAACTGCCAAAGCCAAGCATCTAAGCTGGGATGAGAAAAGTGAGGGTTAGATCCAGATGTTTGGATGACCTGTGGATTACTCATTGAGAGCAGATGGGATTTTCAACGAACAAAACAAAACTCAGGGCTTGGCTGTCACAGCCCGTACATCTTCCCAAGTGTCAAGAGCCGGGTTCGTACCCTTTTGAGTAGAACTGGCGGAGGACAGATGCTCCCTTGTACGGGAGAAGCACGCTGGAGATGCTGCTCTGCTGAGTCGTGTTCGGGAGAAAGGAGCCGCGAGTCAGAGAATGCGGCTCTGGGCTTGCCCATGCGGCTGCCTTCATGCTGTAGAGCCATGCTCTGTTGCCCTGTTTCCGTGGGATTTTGGCTGGTGCAGATGCGCTGATGTGCCGAGCTCATGACTCAACATATCCCAGCTTGACCTGCCGCGAGACGCTTTAAGGCCACGGTGAATCATAGCAGAGCCTCGGAGGACCGCTCCCCACTCCGCTCCCCGGATGGCTAGCGTGGGGCTACGGGCTGACCGGAGCACTGGGCGGCCCGAGCGCACGGTGGGCTTCGATGGATGCGGGGCTGCCGCGCGTGGGACGAGCCGCAGCGGTCGGCGCGCGGGGGCTGTGGGGCTCCTGTGGCGGGCACGCTCAGCGTTGCCTGTGCTCGCTCGAGTCCGCGGACACCGGGCCGCAGTTGCGCTTCTGCCCTGCAGGGAGGTCCTGGGTCTCGAGGCTCTGGGGGCGAGCTTTTAGGCGAGTGCTCATTCGTCTGCATTTCCACAGCGTGTGTATTTTCATTTCAATGAAAATGAGCCAAGACTAGACACTGGCAAATGCATCCCCTGTTCCGGTTTATGACCTGGCAAGATCCCCACGGCGAGTTGAGCTGTGCGTCTTGCCCCGGCCTTGCTTGGAGGTCTGCACAAGGGACCCTTTCTTCCCACAAGAAGGATCTGCAGTTCCAGCTCCATCTCTTGTGTGGGTGCAGTCGGTGCTCTCGCGAAAGGCTCTGGGGTGCCCGAGCCAGAACTGCTCCACTGAACGGCTGCCAGGCCCCCCGGCCCTGCAGGATGAACGGCGGCTGGCCCTTCCTCCCTCGACCAAAGCTTGATCCCAGGATCCGTGCTAGAAACACACGGCAGCCTCCTCTTCCGCTGGCTGGGGAGCCTTGGGACATCGGGTTTGGTGCCTACTGCCGTCTGGACACATCTGCCGGCGGTGCTGGACCTCCCGCTCCCGTGCCCCAGAGCAGGGTGGGAGAGGCCGCTGCAGCACCCTGGCCTGCCGTGGGTTATTTCCAGGGGGCTTCTGGAGCTGCAGGCGCTGGACTTGCTCCGGAATGGTTTTCACTCCCCAGGCAATACTGGGGGCTGAATGCCACCCCGGCTTGGAAGGATAGAAACGTAGAAACAGAGTGAGCCAGAAGGGGTCTCCCGGGCTATCTAGTCCGACCTCTGGCACCAGTCTAGCCCGATCCCATCGCTGCTGCCCTGATGGTGCGGCGGGGGCGGGGGTGGCAGCAGCAGGAGGGATGGGGGAGCAGGGCAGCAAAATTCCTTGTAGCCCCACTTCTAAGAAATCAGCCATGTTCGTCCCCCTTGAGCCTCGCAGCAACGCACCCAGGACCGCCTGGGGGGGGCACCCTGCCCCCTTCTTTCCTGCCCCGTCTGCTCTCCTGGCCTTCTTCCTGATTTCTCTCCTCCTCCTCCCCACAGGGCTTCCAGATCCCCAAGGGGTGGAGCGTCATGTACAGCATCCGGGACACCCACGACACAGCCCCCGTGTTCAAGGACGTGGACGTGTTTGACCCGGACCGATTCGGACGGGACCGCACGGAAGACAGAGACGGCAGGTTTCACTACCTGCCCTTCGGAGGAGGGGTACGGACCTGTCTGGGCAAGCACCTGGCCAAGCTGTTCCTCAAGGCACTAGCCATTGAGCTGGCCAGCACCAGCCGATTCGAGCTAGCCACCAGGACCTTTCCTCGGCTCACGCTGGTGCCCGTCGTCCACCCGGTCGGGGGACTCAAGGTCAAGTTCTTTGGACTGGATTCAAATCAGAACGAGATCTTGACAGAGACAGAGGCCATGCTGAGCGCCCCTGTGTAAGCCGCCTGCCGCCTGCCCTGCTTCTCTCGGCGGGGGGTGGAGGGGCTCGGAGCGGAAAGGGAAGAGCAAAATCCACCACTGATGCAGCCGCGCCGCCTCGCCACCCCTCCCGCAACACCCCTGGGCCAAGCCTTCTCCGATGAATCTACCCAAGCTGTGGTGCTGCTTTAGGGGAGGGGGGACCGGCCGAGGGGGCCGCCTTGGTGGATTTTGCCTTGTTTCTCGAACTCGGCAGGCGGGGTGTGCCTTGGCCGTAGAAACAGCTGGACCTGCCGAGGTGCCCCATCTCAGCTGCTGCTGCTTCTGGAGGGGGCCCTCTGCACCCGGCTGCTCACGGGAGGCCGCCGTTGGTCCTCTGGGGCCCGGCAGCCCTCCAGCCAGTCTTGACCCCTCAAGTAACAGTGTTCAATCAGCCCCCGAGAGTCACCAGGGTCTGGGCCCGTCCTCACCTGCACACTGTACGTGCCCAGGAGGCTCCCCGGCCGCCCGGGTACGAGTCCGTCCTGCGTTGCGATGCTGCGGGGGGTGGCACCTTCCCAAGCTTGCATGGCAATGCGCTGCGGTGCTGCCTGGGCGCACGGGGCCTCGGGGCCAAGCGGAGGCAGGCTGGCTTTGGAACTGTGACGCCGTGTTTACATTCACCTCCTCGCGTGCTTCAAATGTTGTGCAGGGAGGGCCACCGAGAAACAGCTGGGGAAGACGGGCGTTTGTGCGAAGCCCAGTTGCTCGTGCACGAGTGTGGATCCGTGCGCTGGAGTTCGTGCCGCTGACACTCGCGCCTCGGCCTTCTGGCACCCGGAGGCGCTTCTTCAGCCAGCCTGTGGCTGCTTCCCTGGGCCTCTCCTGAAGATGCAGCCGGGGAAGTTCCGCATGGAAGAATCGGCCTTCTGGCGTCCAGGGAGCAATGTTTCCGCACCTGGCGAGGGAGGGCGCTCCGTGCTCCTCCTCCTCCTCCTCCTCCTCCTCCGTGGTCCAAACCTTGACCGCATCCCCGAGCTTGCACCCCCTTCCTCCCCAGCCCAGAGTCCCTGAAAGGAGCACGGTCATGGGCCAAGGCCGTTCCCTGGAGCTGCCAGCTGCTGCCATGCTGCTGCTCTTGCTCTCATCCGTAAGCCCCCTCTGCCCCAGGTGTGTCCCCGGGACCGGCCCCGGTGTCCGCACAGGCTGTGGGTCGCTCCCAGCGGTTGGAGCCCAAGGCTCACCTGGGTGTTCCAGGGCACGCCCTGCGTCGGGTGCCTGCAGCGGTTCCTTGGCCCAAAATGGTTTCGGGGCAAGTGGACCTTTTCCTGGGAAACCGGCGTGTTCCGATGAAGCAGCCATGTCTTTAGGGCCCCAGTTTGAGTTCAAGGTCGTGCTTGAACTTTGCCCCCACGGACAGCCAGATGAACCACCCTGGGGGACCCCTGGGCGGGGGAGCTGCCGACACCCAGGGACTTGCCCTGGAGCGCTGCAGGCAGTCGGATCCCAAGTTCCCTCGGCAGCCACGGGAGGCCACCTCCTGCCCGGTCATCAAGGCGTGGCCCAAGGGGAGGCAGGGGAAACGGGCCTCGTGAAAGGCGGCTGCAGCAGTGCTTTCCGGGTGGCCAGAATGCTCGAGAGCCGTGCCCTCTGGCCAGCCGGGTCCGCCAGAAGGTTGAACAGCTGTGTCTTTGTTGCAACTGGTCCCCGAGCCCCCTGCAGGCAGGCAGGCCGGGCCGGAGCCGCCCTTCCCCTTTGCAAATGCCCGATCACCAGCCGTCCCCCTGCGCGCGGCGGGATGGTGCCCCGGCTGGTTGGCAGCCCGTGGGTTGCAAGCCGGGCAGAATGTGGCAGCTGCAGGCGGGGGCGGAGGGGCGGGAGGGCCCCTTCAAGCCCCGGGCATCGTTCGCCAGCAGGCCCGCACAGGCCCTGGGCCTCTCCACAGAGCCAGCCTAGTTCCCCGGGTGGATCTGAGAAACGCCACCCGCACTTGCCTGGGTCTCTCGGAGGCTCCTCCTCGGCACCCGTGTCTCCCTGCCCCGGCGGTCCCACATGTGGGCTCCGCAGCCTCTGTGCCGCTCTGGCCTGCTCTCCCTCGGGCTGTCGTGTCACGCGCGGAGTTCAGTGCCGCTCCGGGGCAGTGCGAGGCGTGGAGCTGGGGCAGGGAGTGCGTGGTGGAACCGTGGGCTGCAAAGCCCCCCGCTGCCCCACCTCCCCCGGCTGGGGAATGGCACTGAACCCAGGCAGGGGCTGTGGCAGCGTCTCCCTTCCGTGCCCGGCAAACTCGTTGCCCTTGAAGGTGAACCTCGAAACCGGCCAGCCTCGTCCGGAGCTCCGGTAAGAGGCCCGGTGACGGGTGGGGACGGGGCGTCCACCCCAGGGATGCCTGAGGTGGGTGAGTGGCTCCCCCTTGTCTCCAGGGAGCTTGCATGAGAGGAAGCGGGGTGAGCAGCGTCCCCCGCTCGGCTGCCCCATGTCCCTGCAGAGGCCCCCCGCTCGCCCCGGAGGCGTTTTGCAGCTCAGGCCGGCGCCCAGAGGCCTGTTCAGCAGCAGCGCGACCCAGACGACGCTCAGCTTCGCCCCGGGCGCTCACAGCCCGACCCCGGAGGGCGCGGCGGGTGGGAGTGCCAGGTGGCCGGATGCAGCTTCCAGGGCGGGCTGGTGCCCTGGCCCCCCTGCCCCCCCCCCCCCGCCCCGGAAGGGAAGCGGCTGCCGGCAAGTTGCCTGTCTCCATCCCTGTTTGCAAGCTTTACGGAGCACTGGTTGTCAGAGCTGTGCAGCGAGGCCGAAAGGTGGCAGTTCCGAGTTGGAGTCCTTGCGGCCGCAGGTGCATCTTTCCGTTACAGTGCCCCCCCACCTGAGCCCCCAGGGGGTCCAGCATGGGCCCTTGGTAGCCGCCGCCCTGCCTCAGGCCCGCCCGAAGGAGACACGGAGTGGCCCGCAAAGACCCCGCTGGTCCCTGCTGGGGAGGGGGCGCACCCCCTCGGACGGGGGGCTCCTTGCAGTGCCACAAGGCCTGGGTGGAGGGAGGGGAGATGGGGAGCAGAGGTGGCGCTCCAGACACCGCACTGCTTGCCCTGGTGGGAAATGGGAAGGCCTTGGCAGCTCCGGAGAAACCGGGCCGGTGGTGCCGGGGGAGCGGGATGGGAGGGGTCAGCATCGATATACGTTCTGTATCTATATCTGTACCTGTATATGTGCGTGTGTTGTATCTAGGCAAGGATAGCTCCTTTGGATTTACCATTCCTAACTAATATAACTTGACTAAAAGATTAAAATGTTACTGCAGTGGGTTTGCAGGATGAAGCACTTTCGAGACTCGGAATAGGCGGTTCTTTTTATTTCCTGGCACAGTTCCAATTTGCTACATTATTTTATACACAAAGGTGTTTTTGTCTGAGTTTATAAACTATTATTATTATTATTATAATTATAAGTACTATTTTTGTTATAATTCAAATAGATATTTAGTATAAAAGTGTCGCTGTTTTTAAATATTTGTTATTTAGTAAAATATGATTTATCCCCGCTCCTCCTTTTTCTTCATTGTACACCTTGTCTGGAAGGGGAAAAGAGCTGCTGGGTGTGAGCAGCGTGGGGCCCCACAGAGTGGGAGCACCTCTTGTGCGAGCCCCACTGCCTGGGTGGGGGCCCGCAAGCCCCTGTTCGAGAGAGTGTCCGACTGGATTGTGTTTGCTGGGTTGTTATTAAAAATAAGGCCCCCTGCTGGTGCCGTGGGCAGATGTGTCTTGTGTCGTGTGGTTTTTAGCGTGTATATACGACGGGCGGTCAGTCCTCCCGTGCAAGCTTGGCCGGAAGGGCTGTGGCACCTCTTGGCCAGGCCCCGGCCTGCGCGGGCCTGCTTTGTGATGTGTTGCAAAACAGTGAGTGTTGTGTATTTCGTGACCTTATGAAAATAATCCTTGTGGCTATTTTATAGACTTCCATAATAAAGAAGCTGAATCTCTCGACCTGTTTGTCTTTTCTCTGGATCTCTCCTGGGTACAGGTCAGCGATGGGCCTCATCCCAGTCCTGGGTTCGGGTCACCGTCTTTCACAGGAAGCCGTTCAGCCCAGCCGCAGCTTCCAAGCGGCTCCTGAGGCAAACGGCGTTCCTGTTGTTTTTAGACTCGTCTGACCACTGACCGCCCGGCCGAGGTCAGCACGCGCAGTGGGCATGCAGCCAAGCCCATGCAAAGATCCACGCAAGAGGGACCGGCAGAAATGACGTCATTCCGGATCCCCACGGGCGGCCCTTGGGCAGCACGCGTTCCCAAGCCCCCTTTCCCCAGCCGACCCGCTGGGCTTCGCTCCTGCTGGCCTCGCAGCCCGGAGCTGCGATGTTCCACCCGCGCTCCGACCGGGAGCCCTGGCGTCCGCCCGTGGCTTCCCCGGCTGCCACCTCCCAGCCCGCCGCCGCCGCCCTCTGCCTCGGTTTCCCCGCGGAGCACTGGCCCAGGCGGGGCAGCGGGGCGGGCAGCAGGCTCGCCGTCCAGCCAGGCCCGCGGGGCGACGGGGCGCCCACGCAGCTCTCGGCGGCGCTCCTGTGGGGCCCCGGAGAGACGCGCGCGGGAGGCCGGCGCTGCCCAGGCGCGCCCCGCAGCCATGGCACCGGGGCGAGCGCGAGGTGCGCAGCCCGCACCCGAGGAGCCGCGGACGCGCAAGAACGGGGAGGCCCACCCGGAGCGGGAGGCGGGCAGGGTCCCCGGCCGGGGCCCCGCGCCCAGGACCGAGGCGATCCCGCGCCGCGCAGCCGAGCCGCGCGCCGCAGGAATTGGCGCAGCGCCCCACGGCTCGCGGGGAGAGCCGACGCGCCCCGGGCGGCGAGGGGCCTGCGCGAGCGGGGCCGGCGGCGGCTCCGTGCCCGCCTCACACCTACTCCGTGCAAGGGGAGGCCATTTCCGCGCCCCCCCCCCCCCGCCGCTTTCCTCTTCCTCCCTCGCCTGCTATTTGTTTTGTCTCTGATTTACGGCTTGACTGAGGGCTGCGGGAGAGCGCGGCGCAGCCCGCCTCGCGCCGACAGAAGCTGCCCGCTTCGCGCTCCGGTCCCGCGGGGCCCCCCATATGGCGGGGGCGGGCCGCGGAGCGAAACATACTTTCCACTCGGCTGCAGGACGCGGTTTCATGTTACTGACGTTTGTTTTAACTTTAGCTGAACTCCTGGAAAGTTTCTCTCCTAAAACTCGTTCCCCTCCAGCGCTGCGGGCACGGACGGGGGACCCCGGAGCCCAGCCTCTGGGGGAGCGTGGAAATAAAACGGTGCTGAATGAGCGAGCGAGCGAGCGAGCGAGCTTATTTTCTGGCGCTCTGGATTTAATTTGCAGTCCACAAACAGGCATTATTACACCCCTCCTGACGAGCGACTTCGGGTCGCACTGGGCTGCCGGCCTTGGGCTCCCTCCGCGGGGCAGCGCGCGACCCCCGCTGCGTT